AAAAAACCCTCCCGCCGGCAGGTCGTGACCGACCTGGTGCGGGCGCTGTTCTCGTCGGGCGCCACCCACGCGGCGCTGGACGTCCTGGAGGGCCACGTGGCGTACTACCCCGGCGCCACCGACCTGGAGCACATCAACATGCTGGCGCAGGTTCGATCCCCGGGGGTGGCGTAGTTTTTGCTGTGCCTCTCACTGGCCGAGCGGCTCGGCTGGATTTTGGACGGCGCAGAAGGGTCGCGCCTTGAATCTGCTTGTTTTTGTCGAAGAGGGCGGGGGCATCAGTGAGGGTTATACTGTGAGGGGGAAGGCCCGAAGGGGAGGTGGGATGGGTGCGCCTTCATAGCAGTCGCGAGGGGAGGCTGCAGGTGCTCCTGACGGTGTGCATTCCCATGGGGGCAGTGCCTCCACACCCAACCACATGCCCCAACTCCCTGTTCAGCGCTTCGCACGACTCAATGTGCCCCTCTGACGCCGCGCATGTTTATGTCACCCGACGCCGTCACCCCATGATGTCACCGCCAGCTGTACATGGAGCTGGGGCGCCACGACGCGACCAAGCGGCTGGTGGAGCGCGCGCGGGCGCTGCTGCTGGCGCCGGGGGAGCCCACGCCGATAGACCTGGCCGTCAAAATGGGTGGGCGGGCGCGGCTCCGGGATGTTGTTTTTCAGAGATTATGACGCTTTTCGGGACGCTCTGTGCAAAGTTATTCTCTGGATAACAAGCTGAGGCAAACTGGGGTAATGGTTGGGACCTAGGGAGTGGCCGAGGCATGCGGCAGCGGGTCCCATCCCGCCAGCGGGCGCGCCCGAGCAAGCGCTTCCCCGTGGCAGCAGGCGGCGCACAAGCAGTGTCAGGGATTTGGTTTTGAGGCTGCGCGAGGCTCGGCGGTGCTGGACGAGCTTTTCTGGGCTGCTCTGCTGGCTGGCTGGATCGCCTTGTGGCGTGCAGCAGCCACTCGCTTTGTATCTGCACCGACATGCCTGTTTGCCTCCGTGCCCTCGCCGCCCCCCATCGCTGTGGTGCCAATCGCCCGTGCGCCAACACAGCTGTCTGCACTACTCACCCCCATCCGATGCCACGCGAAACAAACATTGCTCAGAAGCGCTGCCTGATTCAACTCTTGAATGCCATAAACATTTGATTCTAACATTGTCATTTCATGACTCTTATTCATGCACATCAAACACACCCCAGCTTTCAGGCGTTGACCATACGCCATCCGCAACGCCCCACCCCCCAACAGGCGTGTCGTGCGCGCTGACCGGGGACATGGGCCGTGCGTTAGCCGAGTTCAAATCCCTCCTGGAGCTGGGGGTCGAGGGCTACGAGGACCTGTACCTGCAGGTGGGCGGTTTTTTTGTGTCGCACGGCTGATTAATGTTTTGACAAACCCCCAAGTAAACGAGTCGTAGGGTATCATGAGAACTGCAACGGGTGTTTTGGGCGTGCAAGTGTGCGAGGTTTGTGCGTGTTGTGCCCATTCAGTTGCCTTCTGCAGATGAGCATGATGCAACGTCTCTATTGTGTGTGTTTGGGAGTTGTGTCCAAGCTTCGAGGGACGGATCAAGCCCCAAAGCATGATCGGTTGCCTTTCCAGCCATCGGTTGGGAGCCACATGGATGGCAGCCCATCAGGCGAAAGCTGTCTACTCACGTGGCAAACATGCCAGCGCCTCCCCTGCATGGATGCTGTTTAAGCTCAAAGGAGTGGTCTCACTGTGATTCGAACGCCGCGCGTCTGCGGCTGCCGACCCCCCTTTAAATCCCCTCGGTTTTTGGAGGCAGCCAATCGCCCTTCGACTGCATGGCACCCGCCAACCGTCAACCGCCAACCACCAACCGCCAACCACCAACCGCCAACCGCCAGGTCATCGGGGCCCTGGCCAAGGCGGGGCG